ATGTGCAGATGCTTTATCTTCTCCGCTAACTAACGTCCAAAATGCTTCTTTCTCCAAAAACGTTGTACCTGTTGCATGGAAAGACATTAAAATAGTCCCTGTCCCTAAACCTGGCATTAGCAAGAACGTAAAGTTCAGACCCATTGCCATCACTTCCCCGTTTCTAAAGTTGATAGAAAAACTAGTACTTCTTAAACTTGAACCCTCCCTTAAAAGCTTTGAAGACCCGAAACAATTTGCCTATAGACAGGGTAGGAGCACTTTAGACGCTGCAGTTGTCTTACACAACAACATCGTCTCATCACTAGATAAAGGTACCAAATACGTCCGCTGCACTTTTCTTGACTTCACTTCTGCTTTCGACTCTGTTCCTAAATGTCTCCTGATAAATAAGCTCTCTTTGACAAAAACTGATTCCTGGGTCACTAACTGGATGCATTCCTACTTCTCTAACAGAATGCAGTACACCGTATACAAAGGTGAATCCTCCTCTGCTGTACTCACTGAAGCCGGAGTCCCCCAAGGCGCTGTACTCTCCCCACTTCTCTTTTATTTATTTCTACATGACTTACCATCTACAAATTACATTAATTTTGTCAAATATGCTGACGACCTGACAGTATCTTTGCCTGTCAAATGTCAAAGTGACTGCTCTAAACTTAATGGCTTTCTATCAGAAATCAGCCAGTGGTCCAAGGAAAACCGTCTTACCTTAAATCCCTGTAAATGTCAAACAGTCAATTTCACCTTTAGGCATGAATCTGACCTAAACAAACTGGTTGGCTCTCACGAGGTGTGCAACATAGATGGCACTGAAATAGAAACCAAGTCGGAAATTAAATACCTAGGCGTCATTCTATCTGCTGATCTCTCCTGGTCGTTTCATATCTTGACGATTTCTAAGAAAATATTCCGTCTTACCTTCTACATCAAGAAGTTAAGAAATTCTGGTATAACTCAACCCTTACTCCTACAGTTCGTCAACTCTCGCATTCTGTCTATTATTCTCTATTGTTCCCCCTTAGTTTTTCCAGGGCTACTGAAGAAAGACTATACCTTATTACGCAGGATGTTAAAGGTTGTTGGCAGGGTAAGCAATGTGCCACTTAACCAGCTTGTTAATATTCTGGTCGACAGGCACTTTGACTGATGTGAAAAATAGGCTAAATCCATTCTGTCGAACTCCCACCACCCTCTTCCTTCACAACTCTCCCCTTGTATCTCATCAGGCAGAACCAGAAGCCTAAATAGAAAACTATATGTTCGCACCAGCAAGAACAAAAACTCAACCATACCCTACTTAGCTCGTGTTCTGTGCGATGAAGGAAGCATTAGGCGTGATACCTATAGCTTACTAAATAGTCAGTAAAACAATTGGATCTCGTCTTTCCAACTCATATCATTTAATAGGTACAACGTTTTCTTTCTTTTTCTTTTCTGTCTACTTTTTTTGTTACGTGATGTTTTAACTAGTCGTTCATTTCCCAATAGGTTCCACTCGACGACCTGCATGACATGTAATATCACTTGAATGTTTCCTCAGCAAGTTTCTCCAATCAACCTCTATTTTCTTCTGTATATTTGTTGAGCCAACCATAAGTTGTTGTTAGGTAGGCAGGCTGCTAGAGTTCCTTGTCTCAAGTACAGCTTTAAAATTTACATCCAATTAGAATTTTTATTTCAAATGTGTCAAAAAAATTAATGTCAGTCATAAAGATAAGTAAACGATTGATTCTAATGTAAAATTATTGATCTTTTCTCAGCTAGTATACATATATGTATAAAATTATATATATATATATATGACTGATGTACTACGCTAACATCATCCTGAATAACAACACTCATTCAACAGGAAACAATAATTGATAATAATAGTAGCTTCAAAATAATAGAGAAGATTTGTAGCTCAGGTGGATGTGATATTGAATTAGTAGTGTTCTCTGAGGAGCTGGTTGGTTTAATTGCGAAGCTTTCGTCCACCTTCTAGACAACATCTTCAGCGCAAGTTTTAGCATAAAATGAACTGATTTAAATTCTCCATGAATGATAGAATTGTGTCTCCTGGCAACCGTCTTCGTGACTGGTAGTCGATTTACATCTATATTGATCATTTTTTATTGATTTGGATTTTGAACTTTCTCGTCACATGATTTACTTTTTATTATTTGGTCTAGGAATTCTCTGACAGTTTTGCTGTTTCTTCTGTCTAAATTTCGATATTATCCCAATCAAATTGGTGTCCATAATTATCTATATGCATTGATATGAAACAATATATATCATGTCTTTTTACAGCTAATTTGTGTTCTTGTATTCTGATTCGAAGGGGACGCCCACTTTGACCGATGTAATGTCTGTTACAGTTCATACAACTTATTTTGTAAATGGTATTAATTTTATCTTCTTTTTCTGTTGGATCTTTCGGTTTGCACAATATCGAATGAAGTGATTGTGTTGGCTGGCTTGTGTGGTATATCTATTTCAAACGGTTTTAATATTCTAGCTGTTATTTCGGAGATATTTTTTATATATGGTAGGATGAATTTCCTTGTGGTCTTTGATGATGGCTTTGTTGTTGGTGTTATGACTCGAGTTTAAACACTTGTTGATGAAATTTTGGGGATATCCATTCTTTTTGAAGACGGTTAGTAGGTATTTTTCCTCCATTCTCTTCAACACTGGAGTGCTACAGTGTGTTTGAACTCTTTTAAACAATGTCTGCACACAGTTTCTTTTGTGGGTAATTGGGTTATTACTACACTAGTTGAGTATTTGGTCTGTGTGCGTTGATTTTCTATATACTTGTGTTTCTAAATTTCCTGTGTTGGTTCTCCTGATTAAGACATCTAAAAATGGGATTTTGTTATCTAATTCTTCTTCTCTTGTGAATTTGATGTCTTCAAATATGTTGTTTATTAATTTATGGGTATATTCTAAATCATTTCTCTTAATTATTACAAATGTATCATCAACGTAACGTATCCAGATTTTCGGTTTAATTATAGGTAGAGCTATTAATTCTAATCTTTGCATAACGGCTTCAGCTATTAATCCTGATATGGGCGATCTCATTGGTGTTCCTTTTATCTGTTCATATATTTGATTATTGAATTGTAAGTATGTTGCAAGACATAATTCTATGAGTTCTATCCAAGTTGAACATTGCGTTTTTATGTTTTCATCACTATAGAGTAATTGTTGCATATTTTCTGTTGCTAGTTTTGGACTAATTGAAGTATATAATGCTGTGACATCGAAGGACACCATTATTTCATTGTCATCGACTTGAATGTTTTTGATTTTCTCTACAATTGATAATAGTCGCATGATTCTGTTAGGTATTTTAATTTCCTGAAAAGTCCTTAAGACAGATTATATGTTGGTGTTCCTGGCAGCGAAACGACTGGTCGTAAGGGAATGTTTGGTTTGTGTAGTTTTGGTCTACCATAAAATCAAGGTAGAGCTTTTTTTGTTTACGGGGTAGAGTTGTTAGCCTCACTATCAATCAGTCTTCCTTCTTTTGTAGGCTTTCTATCAGTTAGGAGAGATTTAAAGTGGAGTGTGTGGGCGGGGAATCAAACCCATACTGGGGGCATGGCTGAGTTAGGGCGTTCTACCCCTGAACCACCAACACATGTAGATGTTATCAGGTGCAGTTGTATTTTCTGAGCTGGATGTTGGTTTAATTGATAAGCTTCGATTGTCTTTCTAGACAACATCCACGCAGACAACTACATACATCAATTCGACTTGACAAATGTACAAATCTTAGACAATGAGAATACCAAAAAAATTTAAGAAATTTCTAGAAGCCTAGTACTTTGGTGAATCTACAGTCAACAGACACATTTGCGGAGATCAGATTTACAAAACAATGAAAATTATATTAATTAAATTAATTAGGTCAAATATGAGGTCAGAAAGGTGGTCAAATAGATAAAGGGTAACAAAATCTCATGTTCAAGATCATTAGGAGAGATAACTATTAAAATCACGAAGAGTTCGAATAACTCTCACTTCATAATGAATTCAGCGATGAAAATGTTATCTAGTAGGTCATTGAAGGCTTTGCAATTAAACCATCCACCACAGAGAACACATTTACGCTTAGTTATATAGTCTATTAAATGTGATATAAAATTTCTTATTCCATTCAGTATTTTGTATATGTATGCAAATGACTTTAATTTTTGAGAAATAATAAAAAGACGGTTGCAGTGAAGAAAATTTTCTTTTCGACTAAGTCATCAACTAGGCGGTATTTATAATTAATGGGTGAGAAAGTTCCAGAACGATTTCCGGTCAAAGGTCAAATTAATAAAATTACAAAGTTTAATAAACACGGAGATCGGATACAGAATATAGTAAGGTAGATAGGTTGTAGTATTATTCTAGAAATATTTCAGGTCAAAGGTTAAATTAGTAAAATTACATAATAAATGGGTGGGAAAGTTCCAGAATAATTTCCGGTCAAGGGTCAAATTAATAAAATTACAATTAGGAATTAAAATGCCATAATAAACAGGGGGAGGGGGACAGATAGAACTCAAACAAAGTAGCATCATAATTACTCAGAAGATTGACATATTGTGCAATTGGGAGTTAGAAACGTAGAAATAACAAAAATAGACAGGATAGCTAGATAAAAAATCTAGTGGAATCACAACTAATGTGACGAATAATTGTGTATGCAGTCAGAGATTAAATATGTAGAAATAATAAAATGACAAAGTAGGCAGGAAGTTCGGATGTGAAAGTATGGTAGTGTTTATAGAGATTAAGAAGAACTTAAAAATAACATGAATAAACAGGAAGTTTGGATAAGAAAGGCAAAGAATTCCCTATGATCAAATGTGTATATTTCGTGTTTTGAGAAATAATCAAAATTTTCTAGATTGTTTAAACAAATATGAACAAGTGAATATTTTACAGTTAATTATTACAATTATTGTTATTACCATTATTATTATTGTTATTATTATTATTAAATATTTCAGTTTAGTCACTGGTACAGTTGAAAATGCGAGCAAAGAAGATGAAGAATCAGAAAGTTCACGTGGTTAGTTCAATAGCATTAATTTACTGTTATTATTATCGTTCCCTTGGGTTCCTGGTGGACCATAAGGCTTCAGAAGCATATCATCACTCCACTGTGTTGTTTAACGTCCAGTTCAGCTGGCTTCACGATCGCCCATTTACCTTCGTTTCCCCCTAATATGATCTCTCCTACGTTACTCTAGAACAGATGGCCAACTCGTCGTTTCCCGTAAAGTTTCCATTCGAGGACATGGCACCTGATGTCATACAGCTGTCCCCTCAGCGTATTTTCAGCGTATGTCTGCATTTTCTTCTGAATATTCGTTGAGCGATAGTTTTTTTGGTTGGTTCGTCCCTTGACTGAGTCACTTGTTGCTTATCCCTTTCTGGCCAGCCATCTGATCGTCAGTATAGAGTAGAGGCATCAGTTAGTAAAAGTCTGCAACAGCCTGTAATTAAGTCTAATCTGATGTTAGATAATTTCTGTTTGTTGTGACTTTTTAAACTGATTGACTGACTGACTGGTTTCAATGTAGAACTTTTTACAGATGTGTAGCAGTTTGAATTGCCACACTCCCTCCATGTAGCACACAAAGCAAGAGAAGAGAGTATAGAAAAATTCAAAAGATAGATAATAAACAGAAGCGTGAGGCATAAAGAGTAGTAATATCGAAGAACAATAAAATCTTATTGGATATCATAAATCAAAAAGGGTGAATGCATTTTTGCCACTGACAATGATTTTGAGCCATATCACCAATTGTCTCCAGCCTTCATTGGTTTTTACCATCCCGAGAACCCCAACCAACCAGGAAGGCTACACCTGCCTACGTGACTGGCTTAAACTAACTGCTATGAATTTCACTGACTGGTGCCACGTTTTGGTTTGACCACCACTAGCTCTTTCCCAACCTGAACATACTATGTCAGCTAACATTGTCCGTCGAGGAAGGCGATGGCTAAGCATGCATGTGTAACACATGTCCTAACTATCTCAGTCGGCATAACTTTACAGTTTCGTCGATTGATTTCCCTCCCACTTATCTAGCACTCGATGTCTAACCTCAATATTGCTCACCTTAGTATACCACTTAACATGGGAGATAGAACACAGACACCTGTGATCAAAGACAACAAGCCAGGCTTTTCATGTCTTCTATAATGGATAAAATTTTATTTTGATGAAGTCACACGGTATTATACAGTAATATTTACTGATAATATATATGTATACCAAATAAAACTATTTCAATGAATTTTGCTGTGTTGGCCTGCTTCAGAATCTATAAATTCCTAAATACTGTATGTATTACGTCATATCTTTCATCCAGTATGTAAACACTCCCCTTGTCATTCCCGCTTATATCGTTTAGCAGTTTTATCAACAAAATTTTTATTCTCGTAGTTTATCATAGTTTGTTTGTTCAGTCTTACATTTATAAATATACCAGTATGCGCGTATTGCCTTCTAATCTGTTATCAGTGTTAACATTCAGTCATTCATTGATTCATTGTTTCGTATGAAATTTTTCAATCAGACTCAGTGTAATTTATCCTGAACCATAGTCACGAGTATATATATATGTATTAATTGTCATTCAGTTAATTTTTTTGTCATTCACTGGAGGACATGAAAGGATTAGCTGTCTTTGATCATAGGTGTCTGTGTTCTATCTCCCGTGTGAAGTGGTATAATAGGGTGAGCAATATTGAGGTTAGGCGTAGGTCGAGTGCTAGGTAAGGAGGGGAAATCAATCGACGAGACTGTGAAATTACATCGACTGAGATGTTTAGGACATGTGTTACGTATGACAAGCCATCATCTTCATCGACGGGCAATGTTAGGTGATATATGGTGGTCAGACCGGAAAAGAGCTAGCGGCGGTCAAACCAAAACATGGCATCAGTTAATGAAATCTACAACAGTTAGTCTAAGCCACGTAGGAAGGTGTAGACTTCCTGGTTGGGGTCCTCGGGATCATAAAAACCAATGGCTGGAAACAATTGGTGACATGGCTCAAAGTCGTTCTCAATGTCTGGTACAGATGCATCCACTCCTTGTGACTTATGATTTCCAATGAAACTGTTTTGTTCTTCGTTATTACTATTCCTTTGTCTCATACCTCTGTTTACTGTCTATATTATGCATTCCTCCTACTTTCTTCTCTTCCTTTGTGTGCTACATGGAGTGTGGCGACTTTAACTGCCGTACGTCGGTGCAAAGTTCTATGTCAAAAACAGACAGATAGAATTGTCATTCATAAACATTTATTTGTGATATCTGACATTCAGTTTATTACTATATTGATGCATATTATCAGATACAATGCGCATTTTTTGACCTGTAATCTGTTTTAATGATTTACTTGCATACATTTCTGTTGTATAAAACTCTCAGATTCTTTCATCATAATGAGTCGATTTGATATGAACAGCACTAATGATATCAAAATCAGTGAGATCACTGAAAACCAAGAAGTAATGAAGAGCTGTTTCGGCCCTTGTCTAGGACTCTTCAATAATGTGTACACCATGACCCCACCAGGGATCCTACTTAGAACCTTTCAGGTTACTCCAACCAGTAGTCGCTATCTTGATGTGGTGGTCAGGCTTTCATATCGCAATTACCAAGTGACCTGCACTAGCTAGGACCAATGTTCCTAAGGGTCCTACCATGCCTGATAGGTCGTTTGGATAGAGGCTATACTTAAAACAGTTACTATCATAGTGTAATTCCTTCACGCCATGCTCAAGGTCAATGGGCTATGTTGTACTGTTGGCGAATAGAGATGTAAGAGCATTAAAATGTGTTTCATTCAGAGACGAGAAAGCCTGATATGCTGTTTCTCCGCTCTGTGGAGAGAGAAGAGTTGGAAAATTTCTACCAGGAATAGCGATCCAAAAGTGGAAATGCACTATTGACCTTGAACGCCCACTATTCTTAGGATATCAGGACCTACCATTATAACAGAGCCACTATAAACGCTGTGCACGAATTGAGGTCCAAACTTCATCCCGATCTTTTTTTCAAGTACTGTTTGAATAATGTATTGACAACTCGTTAGGGTTAGGATCAGGGTTGGGGGTTGGGATTATGATTAGGGTGTTTTACTTTTATTATCTGTATTCTTTAGTAAATAGTTTTAGGGTGTTCATAATTGTTATCTGTATTTTTCTACTAACTGACTTTTCAGTATAGAACAATGATTAGATGAAGATTAATGAGGATTTTCAGGACTTCTGTGGTAATAGGTAGTGAAGAGATCTACACTACTGCAAACGATTTTGAATCATATCACCAACAGTTTCTAACCAGTGATTCCTTTCATTACGACAACACGACCTAGACAGTCTTTAGATCCCTATTTGTGGATCACTCCAGCAGTCAATGACTTTATGGATTGGTAATATAGTTAGGCGTGACCACTACTGACTCATTTTCCTGTATAGTCCTATGGCAGAGGTAAAGAACAGACACCCAACAGGTGCAAACCCGCCATTATGCTATTACCTCACCTTTTTTAAAAGTTATGGAAAGACTTATTTTACTTAATCTTGAACCCTCTTTAAAGCCTTTTAACGACCCCAACCAGTTTGCCTATAAACATAGTAGGTGTACCTTAGATGCCGCTGTAGTTCTATATCATAATATAGTCTCTAGTTTAGATAGAGGAGCCAAATATGTTCGGTGTGCCTTCCTTGATTACACATCTGCATTTGACTCTGTACCTAGGTCTCTCTTGTTAAGTAAGCTTGTTGCAACACAGGCTGAGAGCTGGATAAATAAGTGGTTGTATTCCTACTTTTCTGATAGGAAGCAGTACACGGTCTACAATGGAAAGTCCTCCACTACCTCACTTACTTTAGCTGGTGTTCCTCAAGGTGCTGTTCTTTCTCCTTTTCTGTTTTCTTTTTTCTTACATGACTTGCCCCATTCTGATGTAGCCACTTTTGTCAAGTATGCTGATGACCTCTCTGTCTCTATGCCTGTCAACTCTCAGTCAGACTGTTCCATATTAAATAACTTTCTCTCGGAAATTAGTCAGTGGTCCTCTTCAAACGGTCTTAAGCTGAATCCGTCTAAATGTCAGGTAGTAAATTTTACTTTCAGACGAAAAAGTGACCTTCAACAACTAGCTAGCTCACATGGTCCCACTATCATTGACGGCATAGAGGTTGAAACTACATCAGATGTCAAGTACCTTGGACTGAGTATTTCCTCCGATCTTTCCTGGTCCTCTCACATCTTGCTAGAGACTAGAAAGATGTTTCGCTTAACGTTCTACCTTAGGAAGTTTAGGCAGTCTGGTATAAAGCAGTCTTTGCTTTCTCAGTTTGTCAATTCCTGTATTCTACCCATCCCTCTTTACTGCTCCCCATTAATCTTTCCTGGACTACTTAAGAAAGACTTTGCTTCGCTGCATAGGGCACTAAAAGCTGTTAGTAGGGGAAGTGGGATTTCGTTAAACCAACTGGTTAACACAATTGTGGATAGACATATAATGTCATGTAAGAAACTAGCAAATTCTATATTGTCAGACCCCGAACACCCTCTCCATACGCAGCTCTCTCCTTGCATTTCATCTGGTAGAACTAGAAGCAACTATAGGAAGCTATATGCCAGGACTACCAAGTATAAAAACTCCACAATACCTTATCTGGCACAGCTGTTATGTGATGAGAAAACTGTTAGGCATGACACGATCAATTTACTGCGGCACTCTAACAAATAGTTCCCATTAACTTTTGTTCTCCTTTCTTTGTTTACTATTATATTGTTGCTCATGTATTCTATTACACACTAATTTTATATTTCATATCCTGTGGTGCATTGTTTAAGTATGTGAATGCAATGCCATTCTTTTTTATTTCTTTTATTTCTCTTTTTTTTCTTGTTGTTGTTGTTGCTTCTTATTTTTAAAATCTTATAAAATTTATGAGGTAATTAGATGCAATATTGTAATGAACGCTGAAAATTCCATACCTGTACCACAAATACTGTTTGGAATAAAGCCATTATTATTATTATTATTAAAAAAAGCAGCTTTGGGTCTCTAAACTTAATGTTTCCTTAACCTTAAATTAATCAGACATCTTGTCTAATATTTTTTCACCACTCTTTTCTTGTGATTGAGTGTTATAAGGTCATTGGTGAGTTCACGCCTGTTAGGTGTCTATTCCTTGAAATCTCTAGCAGTATTTTAGCTATGATGGCTCATCTAAGAAAGCAGTGACTCGACATGTATAATTCATGAATTAGTGGTCTCCACCGACGGAATCTCACAACCTCATACACTCATTTGCCATTCTTGCTATTTGCTCGCTGAAATCTCAGTAGATTACGTTCATCTGAAATTATTAATTTTACTAGCTAGTATAATTAATACTATTCATAATTAGATTTTTTACGAGTTGATCACGGATTGATATCAGTTAGAGAACCATTGAAAACCAGGGAGTACTGGACAGCTGTTTTCATCCTAGTTTGGGAATCATCGGCAGATGATCAACTCGTAAAAACAAAACTAATCCTTACAAACCAACTATAGAACATAATTAGATTATCAGTTTCTCGTAGGGATTAGAATTAATTTCAATGTAGGTCTAGCTGGGAACCAATATCAATTAAAGAATCACTTAAAAACCAGGAAGCGCTGAATATTGCTCCTTGGTGCTGATTTATAACGACGTCTACATTGAATTTAATGCAAATTCCAACAAAGCAAAATCTTATGTACAGGAGGACACTTGACCTTGAACGCACCAATCACATGGTAAAGGCGATTTTTGAGTATAAGGTTAACCTAACCCTAACCTATCTTCAGCCTAAACTTTATTATTTATTATTATTAATTTATTTTTTCCTTCACCTTCCCCAGTGGAACATAGGGTTGCAAGCTAGTGGCTTGAAGTTTCTGTAGCAGTGTTTATTTTGCAGGATGGGGTTGCTAGCCTCATGCCCAGCCTTTCCTCAATAGCATTATTTCTGGCTTAGCGAGGTAAAGAAGTGCGTCAGTGGCCGGGGATCGAACCCCGGAGCATGCGCATGGTTGGCGAGCGTCCTAACCGCGATGCCGCCGAAGCCACTAGCCTAAACTAAATCTTTCCTAAACCTAACCTGAAACTTGCCACATATCCCATTTAATAACAAATTTCATTAGGCATATTTTATTCATGATTACAATATTATTTACCAGGTTTCATTAACTTGCTCACTGGGCTTTTCAAGATCATCGGTGACATCACACTCCACTGGTAATTACCGTGCACAACGATGCACATGTCCATCAACCGACCTGCTGAAGCTTTTTATACTCATGACACCTCCACATGAACAAATCCTTTCTTCCCTAATCAACCCCACATCCAAGCAATACTGGAAACCCTTATCCTCACCAAATTGCAAGTGCAACTGCGTTACAGCAGGTATTTGACTCGAATTAAGCGGAGTAGAAGCTTCAACTCACGTGGGTGAAACTCATTGGGCCATTCAAGGTCAATGGTGTGGTCGCACTCCATTGGTAGTTAATGGTACTTAAAGTTTAACTTAGCTCATAATCTAAATATCAATCTCCAACTTATTGGCAGTTACCGGATGGATATCCTGAAGTTGTAGTGAAAAGTTGTGGGCAGTGGAGTTCAACAATGTCAAGGTGAAACGGTATCTCATCGAAGGCTTTAGTGTTGATGATGGTGCCATATCACACGAATTGAAAAAGTTAGAATCTACAGGTCATTGAATTCCTGCATAAAATAGCTGAATGGTCAATTAGTTTGGCCTTGTAACATAAAGCTGCCGGGTGCACACAGATTAAGAGTCCTACATTAGGACGAAATGGTTGTCCAGCACTCCCTAGTATTCAATGATTCACTAACTGATATTGATTCTTGACAATATATACAGTGAAATATCTATAAAAAACAGAGATATCATATTTACTGACTTTTATTTCTTATTTTTTGTCTGTTATATTACCTAATCCCTATTTAGATACAATCATTTATCAATTATCAAATCGTAAGTACATTGAACAAGGATGGACAGTAAGTCATACCAATAAATACAGTACCCATGATGATGATAATGGCGATCTATCAGTGAATCAACAAGGTGAATCCATCCAGCTGAACGCTTATTCTCCAGAATTAAAAGAATTAAAAGCATCAACTAATCTAAGCAGTTTAAACCTTGATTTCATACAACAAGAATATTCAAATGGAGAAGTTTTTATACGAAAGTATAATGATGGCAGTGGGGTTATATTGTATCCTTTGCAGACCAATTTTGTTTGTTTGTTTGCTGGTGCTTTTTTCCCCATTCCTTTGTGCTCATCTTTGAAGTGTCAGTGGCTATGTCATCGTAGTTTTCATGGGGGTAGGCTTACTAGCCTGACATTCAGTCTTCCTTCCTCTCCGGGCTTCCTACCGACTGGGTGAGGTTCGTGGATACGTCGGTCGGGAATCGTACTCCGGCGTCTATCGTGGTTGAGGAGTATTCTACTATCGGACCACCGTTACACAAACCAGGAAGTACTGAACAGTTGCTTCGTCCTTGTATTTGGGATTCCACCTGTCACTCTTCCTCTGAGATGGAACTCAGGATTTTCAGGTCATGAGGCTAACCGTTACATTCAGCTACTAGGACTCAAAATATGTAAATCAACAGTAGAGTTATGTTTAACGTTCATATTTATGAATAATATACAAAACAGAAGAGAGGTGAGTAAACAGATCATCTCTATCATTTAGCATTGTAAGCGTTTATTTATCAACATTAGAGAATTCACTTACTCCTACACCTGAAGTATGCTAAATATATATGTGTATGAGTTATTTAATGGCTGTATTAAAGTATTGCTATGTCCATATTTCTTGTGTTTTTTAACTCACATAAAATCAATACGACTATTTAAATTTCTTTTCTGTAATGACTGAGAATGACCTAATATGGTAGCTAATTTAAATTGTCTCAGTGCTTCGAAATGAATCTAAGTGGTTACACCGTTGATAAAGTACTCTGGAAACGAGTGAAACAGTCATCAGGTGCTTAGATCTCTTCGATCTAACTAGTAATTACTGCCGGTTAATCGTGAGTACTATTCAATTACTGTTAGTGCTATATTACTTGTTTTCTTGATTGCCATCATTCGTTGACTTGCATGGATTCGACTGGTCACAGATTTGATCATGGTATGACATCAGTTGGATAACCACTGGGAAACCAGCAGAAAGTACTGGACAACTGCTTCGTCCTAGTTTGGGACTCCTCAGAAGTACGTACCTACTGGGGTTCAAACCAGTCACAAGGCAACCATTCATCCACAGGAACCTAATCCAATGGCCAGCTCATGAATTCCAGCTTCTACTAATTCGCAGAGTCCACCAAGTCAGGTAAGAGGACAATCACTCATCGATGGCACTGGCTGGCAGTTGCACTATATATCGCCAACTGAGAGGAGTTGGAATTCATGGGCTATTTATGGTACCTGGTAGATCACACATCTTTGAGGAAATAAAAAGGGGTAAGTATGTAAATTATCCACAAGACAACTTTACCGCCTTTCCGTTTCCCCCTCGTTGATATGATGCAGATGAGCGGTCTTTACAATTAGAATTTTCTCAGGCAGTTGGTTTCTTCTTATGTGTTTTTATATTACGTGTTCTTTGAAGGAATACTATAATCAGAGGTGTCTTACCAACTTTTTTGCTGCATAGCTGGGATATCTGTTGTGACGTTATCTGTATATGCTGTGAGTAAAAACACCTCGAGATTACTTTTATCCTCACCCACTTGGTATTATTTTATTCCTTCAGTTGGATGGTTTAATTGTGAAGCCTTCGATGTCCTTCTCTACAGCGTCTTCAGCGCCAACTTTAACATGAAGTGGGCTTTAGAATCCTGTATGCAGAAATTATTTCTCTTTTCTTGACTGGTACCGATTCTTCCTGTAGGTTTCATGTGAATGGTATTCACCCAAATGCTTGATGCTACATACAACTGGTTGGTTGATTGATATGAGCAGTTGGTAACACTCACATCAACCGGTAGTGCTAGTGCTAGCCAGATCGAAGTGGTCTGAGCATCAAACAGCAGTTTCGTTGGTTCGAAACCAAGCTCCTTAGCCGTCTGCTCCATTCGATTCATCTCAAAGAGCCCAATCAGTTCACATCAGCTGAATTTCGGCTAGGTTCTTGGGCCAACTGGTAATACTCTTAATGAAGTTTGCAATTTCAAAGTTTGTTCACCATGTGTAATCTACACTGTTTAGTGTCGAATTTCACCACAGTGCAGTCCAATATATCGCCAATTCATCCGTGTAGCTAACTAGCTAGCTAGCCGAAATCCCGGAGGTTCTCAGTGATTCGGCTTTCTGAGTTGAGTAAGACTGGTTATGTCGCTGATAAGCTCGACTCCAAAGGAGAGAAATGGCTGGCTAGTGTTTAAGTCACTTCGATCTGGCTGGCTAGGAAGCACTACTGGTTAGTGTGAATGTTATCCAACTACTTAAATCATTCACCCAATCAATCAGTAGTATGTATAGCATCATGCATTTATGCTTACATTTTTGATTGTCAATTATGGTATCATATAGATCACATATATTGTGACCTGAATAATTTCGCCTTCAAAATGCGAAACTGTGGTGAAGTTTCATCTCAAACTGTGTACATTACAAGTCATAAGTTGACCTGCAATCGGTTAAATTAATCCGTTGCATTCACGTGCATTCATACTGATTATATTGTTTACTCGATATGTGGTGACCTTTTAACCGCAGAACGTATTCATTATTGGTTGATAAATTTAATCTATATTCACATATCTGTGAATATAAAATTGATTTGAGTACTAGACTTCGAAGAACTCTAAGGTTTTTTTATATGAACACTGTGTAATAGGTCTTCAAGTCTGATTTTAGTGATTTGGGATACTATAAGATGGTTGGAGGCAATCGGCAGGAAGACTTGGACCTAGGTTTCGTGCTAGTTGGCACTCGTCAGCAAGGCGTATTTGTGATACTAATGGAAACTACATTCAAGTTCTTTTTTTCACTTATTTGAGTCCCATATGGCTTCACACTTAAGCTCCAAAGCTACAGTAGTGGTTATACTGACCAAAACTGACTCACTGTGATGTGAACACAGAGAATCGATCTCTTCGTCCTACTGTAAAGCTGAAAAAGCTTCTTTGAGACACGCACAGTCACAAAACTTTGCAAAGACAGTAAAAGGATGATTATTTGTCGATAGATCTATGGTTATGTTCAACAGTAATAACATCGAAAACTCTAAGTAACTTCAAAAGTGCAGTTTTACAGGCAAGAGAACTTTCCAGTACAAAGTAAGTACTGTAGAACAAAATTAGTTAACCAAAAGTTCAAATGTAATAAGTACCGGAGAATCAAGTCGAATATTCTTAACAAGGTGGGAGAAAAACTCTCTAAACAAGAATCACACACACACACAACAATTCACAAAGACAGTCCAAGGTCAGAATGACCTTGACAAAGTCACATCATAAAACAACTCATTATCAATATCATCACACAGCCACAAAGAGAAGTATTAACATTAGAGATTAAACAGAGACAAAGACAAATAATGAGGACTAAATCAACATATGAATATGTATGTGTGTAAAACTTAGGCACTGTGGCAGTAATTCCATATTAGTTTGTTTATTAGATATATCACACAGCGAGACAGTATTATTTACTGGATGACAAAGTTTCGAAAACAATTTATCGTGGTTCATAATCATATCAATTGTAATCACACGACTTCGAAACTTGAGTTTTATAGTTTCCTTTGTCTTCTCCTATTTGTCGTCGGGGTAGTAGAATTTCCCAGATATCGGGGACAGGTGTTGAATCATTCCTATTACACGTGTTTGCAGTTGATTCGATAAACAAAGCTTCTGTTATCAATCTCTCCCTACACTCATCTGTTACATTAGATTTTAAAACTGTCATCATATCCCATCCATCCTATTGTATGGTTGTGTGTAACTGCATGTAGTGCTATAGCTGAACTATTCTCTAGATTTCTTATCTTATTCGTGTCAACCAATCTAGAGTTTGCTAGGTTTTATGCTCGTCTTGTCTAACTGCACCTGTTCTACTCCTTTGACCTGTGCATTTGACCTGACAATCATTGCAGCAGGGTATTAGATAAACTAAATTGTTTTGTTTTAAAGGTTCCACAGGATCCTTTAACTGACACAGCTTGTTTCTAATTGAGTTTGTGGGTGTTTGAATGCCAGCCACTTTTGTTCCTGCATTGTTAAGAATTCTGCGTAAAGTTTCCGAGGTTCCTTCCTTGTATGGAATTACTACTGATGATTTAGATTCCTTATTGTTGGTGTTGTCATTATCTTGCGCATGTTTCACATGCATGTTGTCATTAATATTATTATTATTACATATGATATGCAGATGTCAGGACAAAGATATACAGTCTACGAGAAAAACGGATAATAATTACAAAGTTAGTTAAAGCATCGAATTAAGTATAAATATCGTGATTAGATCATTGAGAATGGACTTTCCAAAGAGTTATTCTTTTACAGTTGTGATGTTCCCTATACAGGATGGAGTTGCTAGCCCCATGCCCAACCTTTCCGCTTTTTGGTGCTTATTACCGACTAAACGAAATTAAGGAGTGCGTCAGATGGGAACTGAGTCCGAACCACCTGAGTGGTTGGTTAGTAATCTACCAATGAACTAGCGACTCACTAGAAGTTAATATTACATGGTTGGAGGAAATCAGCAGGAAGCCTTGAACCTAGGTTTCGTGCTAGTTGTCACTCATCAGCAAGGCGTATCTGCTAGGGACAAGTTAAACTTTAAGCACCACTAACTACTAATGGAGTGCGACCGCACCAATGACCTTGAAACGCTCACTGAGCAAGTTAGTGAAACCTGGGAAATAATGTTGTCATCATCAATAAAATATGCTCATCGAAGTGTTATGCTATTAAATGGGATATCTGGGAAGTTTCAGTTTACGTTTGGGAAAGATTAAGTTACGCTTTAAGCCAAGGACAAGTTAGGGTTAGGTTAACCTAATTAAGGCGAAATTAGGGTTGGTTCGAGTTAGATTACAGTTAGTTTAGGGATATGTTTCATGTTAGAGTTAGGTTCCGGAAAGATTAGGGTTATTGTTAGGGTTAGAAGACCTAAATAATTACATGCATAGAATGTGGTTAAATTATCCTGTTGATATAAGAAAGAATGGAACTTGAGCACTGTGGTAGAGTATAATT